GGTGATTAACTGATAATGAGGACAGGAACAACCAAATAAGGACACAGAGGGAGAAACCACAATCGACAGTCCACAGGGGTGTGACAAATAATGTTATCTATTAACTAAGCAAAAACCCCTCTTTTTAGGACAATACGGGTGTCATGCCATGGAATATTTTTAATATGGCTGACTTTGTATTTAATGTAAATTTAATAAAAGCATTGTAAGTTACAAATTATAACACTTTCATGGTACAGAAAGAGAGCAAAGAACATTTACATTATCAAAAACAATATCACTGACTTCAGTCTAGTCAAGAGTTAACAGGTTTTTACTGTAGCATTTTACCGTCTTTTACTGTTAAAATCACAATAATTTTTTACAGTATAGACATACTTTTGTAGAATGAGTCGGAATGCTCATCATTAGACCAGAGACCGCAGAAATCCGGTGGGGCTTAAGAATTAGACGAAACCACATGAATTGACCGGGACAAGATAGCGGCAGAGTAGATGAGGAATGAAGTCTCTTGAACCAAAAGTAAAATTGGAATAATATAATCCAAAATTTTATTCTGGTACTCAACAGGGGTGTAAATTGCAACCTAAATTCTGATATTAATAATTTCCTGTCACTATTGTTTATTGGCTTTACAAGAATAACTTTGCAACATTTGAAAAGCAAACATTTATGTGCAAAGAATTTGAGATTGCATAAACGCGGTTTACACTATGAAATTAATATCTTACTTAAAAAAGTCTGGCTCTCTGCCAGCAGCTGGTGATGTTTTCACAGGACAAACTGCACATTGCACCCAAAATTGTTTTGTGTGATACCATTCCAAATTTAAGGGGGCCAGAGCGGGGGCCAAGCTTGTTGACACGGAGGCACTGGCCACCAACCCCCCCCCCCCCAATATTATCAGTATGTGTGTGTGTGTGTGTGTGTGTGTGTATTTCTTAATCATCTGAGTCAACATGATCCCTCAAACCCAAAAGCCCAATGGACACAAACAGACAGAGTAACCAAACAATCCACAGATCAACGTAGAAATCATTTGATTGCATTGAGTAATCAATGTAGAACATTTTAACAATGACATTAATAACCCCACTAATAAAACCCATCATCATAATCATCTGCATAATGATAAACATGTTGAAATTTCCTTAATATCATTAGCAGGTTATAAGGCAACCCTTTTTCACAAATAAACACAACTATTGGTATAATAACACAAAAACATACAAGCTTTTTATTTAAAAGGATAAAAAACTTACATTGTAAAAGTTCTGCACGAGTTTTACATTCTGGCTGTCTAAATTTCGTAAACCACTGCTCGTTTAGCGAGATATGACTAAAAACAAAACCGCAAGTATCATTCCCACACACAGGTCAGAGTCTTTCAGAGTGAATATGGTTGGATCCTCCCACTAAAGGAGGAGTATGATTGGTCTGAATATTTGGTTTTATAAATATTATCAGTATGTGTGTTTGGGTATTGTCTTCTGCTGGTTATTCTATCAAAGTTGATTGAGCTGTCAAAGATGTGAGATCTAATATCTCACATAGACATTTGGCTAAAAAACAGTGTGAGTCCAGATACAGTCAGCTGAAGTTTATTCTGAACAAGATCTCTGATGATTTCAGTCTGATCTCAACAGTTTGAGCAGATTTCAGCTCTGCATTAGAAATTCACAATCAAAAACTGTAATGCACAGATAATAATAATTTTGATGCTACTGAGAGGCTTGTAACCAAGCCTGAGGGTTAAACCCATTCAGAGGACATCCACAACTTCTCCTGAGGGGGAATTACTCAAACAGTCAAATTAATCAAATTAAATGTAGTGAAAATCACGCAATAGTAGTAAAATCTCTATCACAGTATTTGGCTCAACAAAATAGTAGTAAAATCTCTGATCTCACAATATTTGGCTCAGCAACACTGTTCAAAGTTCTTAACAAATACAGCTTATAGCTTGGTTTTATTTTAGATTTTACAAAAATTACTACACACTTATATGATTCTCAGTCTTTGTCTTTAAGCAGACAGACAAACATGACCATAAATCTAAAACAGCATGTGTAATTTGCATTTGCATTTGCTCTGGGTTTGCCCAAACTTTCTTATACTCAAATAGATTCTCAAAAGAATGCACTTAGTGACATCTCAGCTCATAAACAAAAGAAAATTGCGTCCAATTCCACATTGTAGTCACAAAAATCTTCAGACTGAGCAATGATTTGACCCATGCTTTCAGTAAGTGCTTGCAGTTCATTGAATGTTCACAGCAGGAAAACCTGTAACTGGTTTCCAGTTTGGCTTGCTGTTGTACACACAATGAACATGCCAGGACTGCTGTAGCCACAGGGCCAAATAAAAGTGTATCTTCAAAAAGATCAGTGAGATGATAACCAGTCATTCTGAACAAGTTGCTCAGGAGGACCTCCAGAGACCAGTAATACAAGTATTTTAATTCATACTATTTTACTGTAATATAATTCATATTGTAACAACCTTATAATATATTATATTACAATGGCCAAGAATGGCCTTTAGTCTCATGATGATTCATCACTGATTTAGAAGAGGAAAGAAAGTTGTAGAAGAATAAGAGGAATGATCAGAATGCGTACGAATAAAGAAGTTGGAAGCACTATTAGTGCTGCGGGAAAAGAGATCAATAGAAGGTGGTGAAAAGCAAGAACTGTTAGGAAAGGAAAATTGTGTCTCAATCTGATGCAGCTTCACATAAAGGCTGTTTAGTCTGATAAAATTATTAAACATCCTCTATATATTTTATAATAATATTATCAATAAAGCATTATTTTTCTGAATTTAGTAAAAGAAAATAGTAAAAATATTTAATTCATACAAAAATACAAACCAACAAAACAACACCAATGTTTCTAACAAAAGTAGTTTAATATATACTCTCACAGCAGATTTACAAAGAATAATGCAAATCCCCAATTAATGAACGAATAATTGAAAGTATGGGATTTCCAGAATAGTCAAATATCTAAATTAATAAACAATCGATATTTGTGATCAGTTTTTAATTAGAAACATTGCCTAAATGTACTGATCACTTAAAATTGGAGTCAGATTGAAAACAGAGCTAGACTAAAATTTACACTAAGTCCTGATAAATTCAGAAGCGCAAGTAAAAGACCGAATACGCATTAAACCTTCGACCAGGCCGCTGGATTCCGCTATTACTACACACTTATATGATTCTCAGTCTTTGTCTTTAAGCAGACAGACAAACATGACCATAAATCTAAAACAGCATGTGTAATTTGCATTTGCATTTGCTCTGGGTTTGCCCAAACTTTCTTATACTCAAATAGATTCTCAAAAGAATGCACTTAGTGACATCTCAGCTCATAAACAAAAGAAAATTGTGTCCAATTCCACATTGTAGTCACAAAAATCTTCAGACTGAGCAATGATTTGACCCATGCTTTCAGTAAGTGCTTGCAGTTCATTGAATGTTCACAGCAGGAAAACCTGTAACTGGTTTCCAGTTTGGCTTGCTGTTGTACACACAATGAACATGCCAGGACTGCTGTAGCCACAGGGCCAAATAAAAGTGTATCTTCAAAAAGATCAGTGAGATGATAACCAGTCATTCTGAACAAGTTGCTCAGGAGGACCTCCAGAGACCAGTAATACAAGTATTTTAATTCATACTATTTTACTGTAATATAATTCATATTGTAACAACCTTATAATATATTATATTACAATGGCCAAGAATGGCCTTTAGTCTCATGATGATTCATCACTGATTTAGAAGAGGAAAGAAAGTTGTAGAAGAATAAGAGGAATGATCAGAATGCGTACGAATAAAGAAGTTGGAAGCACTATTAGTGCTGCGGGAAAAGAGATCAATAGAAGGTGGTGAAAAGCAAGAACTGTTAGGAAAGGAAAATGAAAGGAATAATGATCAAACTAATGAGAAAATAACTTATGTGTCTTCTATTTGTGCAAAAAATCTTCAATGAGAAAAGTTAACATGTCCAGGATTTACCAAATAAAATGATTAGTCTGATTGCAATATCTTGAATAGGCCAAATCCAACCATGGCTATAAGATGAGTTAAATTTGATTTCATTGATCTGCAACCCAGTAACAAGGGAAGGTATAAGTTTGGTCTTTTCCCTTGCAACAGAACCACATACATAGTGGCGCAAGTGTTAGCAAACGAAACCATCCCTCTCTGGGAGTGCCAGCTCACATAGAATCTGATCAGAAAGCAAATTTTTACTGGACATGTGATTAAAGTTGTGTGTAATGTTAAAATCAGGCAGAGATTCACGACTCTTTACAGACTGCAGAGATGGAAATGGTCAAATGTATGAATAGATAGATAGATAGCTAACAGTACAGCACCAAAATTGGCAAACTAATGCCCTGAACACAGATCTGACTAGTGTAAACCGTATCATTTAAAGAGATTTTCCCAGCAGATCTGGGTGTCATAATGTCTGCAACACAGCTAACTGTGTAAACTTAGCTGTAACAGCAGTTTAAAGTGCAACATACCCTGACTGCGCTAAACCACCAGCACCATGTTCAGTTTGTTTTGGCCTTTTGTTTACATTCACAAAACATGATCATGACAATGATATACGTCTTTGTAAGCTAAAACAAATTTGCTCCTGATGGCATGCAATCCCAGATTACAACCATCTGCAACAACTGTTTGGCTGTGGCCATTACAGGAAAATTAAGATCCACCAGTCTTCAAGCAATTTATGAAAAGGCTCAAAATTAAGCTGTTTTTCTCTCGTTTGTTTCCCTTTCAGGTTGACTGCTGCCATCTCTGAGGGACAAATTCCACAAGGTCGTCTGGTCCGACCTACACCAACTTGCACACACAACAAGGAGATGGGCGTGGAGATACTTCAAGGGGCCATTCACACCTCATGGCACTGCACAAGTATTTATCTGGTCTCCCGATGTATATCACTGGAACTAAATTATACAACACAGATTATGGTAGGGTGAACACAGATCACCTATCTCCTATACACAAACATACAGAACACACTCTTCCTGCACAATATACGTACCTGGCATAATTCATTAGCCTACCCAGGTAGGCAGGTGGATTCTTACAGTACTACCACTTATGGTACATTTACACCCCCTAGCTGTAGAAGTATGTTGACTTATGTTGAAATTACATCAGTAACGTTGTAAATTGTGTCACCAGGTGTTCAGGGCCCCTGTGCAGTTGAGTCACGTTCAGTGAAGATCATTATAGTTCCTCCAATTCCTGTGGGGGCTCTGGATTCTCCTCTGCTGGAACCTGTGTGTGACCTCTGTGCTGACGTCGCCATATGATGACAGAAATCACAATCAGAACCACCAGAATCACCAAACACACTACAACTGGCACAATCCAATTCCCTAAATACGGAAAAGAGGAAGATGGGAAGAGAGCACATTTAAAAAAAAAATTTTTTTTCATTACTCAACTCATTGCTTGAGGATTTTGTAAAGCTCTCAATGCCTGTTTTACTTACTGTGTTGTTCAGTTTCCAGTTTTTCCTTTGATTCTAGAGGATATTAAAAGTTCAGCCACAGTTTAGCATCAATTTGCTGTTCAGATCATGATGAATAAACTTAAGCTGTACAAATGCTTTGTACTGTTCTTCTCGCATGTGCTAATGCAATTTAACAGTCAGCCAAACTCCATCCATAAAGTGAAAGTGAAGTGAAAGTGAACACACACACGGAGCAGTGGGCAGCCATTTTTTTGCTGCAGCGCCCGGGGAGCAGTTGGGGGTTCGGTGCCTTGCTCAAGGGCACCTCAGTCGTGGTATTGAAGGTGGGAGAGAGAGCTGTACATTCACTCCCCCCACCTACAATCCCTGCCGGTACGAGTCCGACTCTCTAACCATTAGGCCACAACTTCCCCCAGATGAGTCAGGATTCATCTTAGTCTTTGTTGTTTTAATAACATGCCATTGAGATGTACATTATGAATTAGGATTAAAGCTGTAAAAAACAGTGAACAAACAATAATCAGAATAATTATACAACAACCAAAGAATATGCATAAAGCTGCTCTGAGACTTACAGTATCTCACAGAAGTGAGTACACCCCTCACATTTTTGTAAATATTTTATTATATCTTTTCATGTGACAACATTGAAGAAATGACACTTTGCTACAATGTAAAGTAGTGAGTGTACAGCTTGTATAACAGTGTAAATTTGCTGTCCCCTCAAAATAACCAAAGAAGTTGAGTGCACGTGCTCAGCGTCATATCCAGAGGTTGTGTTTGGGAAATAGACGTATGAGTGCTGCCAGCATTGCTGCAGAGGTTGAAGGGGTGGGGGGTCAGCCTGTCAGTGCTCAGACCATACACCGCACACTGCATCAAATTGGTCTGCATGGCTGTCGTCCCAGAAGGAAGCCTCTTCTGTAATGGATTGCATATAGCCTACAGAAGGACGATACGTTGCCGTGGTTTAGCGCAAATGAGGGCTAAACCGAGGGGGCTAAACCGGGGCTATTCAAAATTCTGACGGGGCTATAGCCCCCCCTAGCCCTGGTGTAGCGCCGTCACTGGAGTGTCATGGTCTGGGGCTGCATGAGTGCTGCCGGCACTGGGGAGCTACAGTTCATTGAGGGAACCATGAATGCCAACATGTACTGTGACATACTGAAGCAGAGCATGATCTATTTTGAGGGGACAGCAAATGTACACTGTTATACAAGCTGTATACTCACTACTTTACATTGTATAATGTAAATTACAAATAATTACAAAAGATATAATAAAATATTTACAAAAATGTGAGGGGTGTACTCACTTCTGTGAGATACTGTATAT